AGTAGAGATGTTTATAATAACTGCTATCAAAAATCTACGTGGTCATTTCAGTGTATTAATACAATCACCGATACTGCTAAAAACAGCTGGTTCAGAGCACCTGGTGAGTTTTTTTAATATTCTACTTAGGTACGGAAATATGAGATTATGTCTACGATACAAGACAGATGCTTTGTTGCGTTGGTACGCGCACCGCTCTAATCAACCGTCATTTTTTTCCAGGCACACTAGAGGCTGTGTCATTCGTTGAATTATTCATGGACAGAATTGCCTACGAAGCAAATTTAGATCCTATAGAATTTAGGCTTGCTAACTTAGATCCAGAACATAAAGATCTAAGAGAAATGCTTGACACTTTAATTAAAGAATCCAAATATAAAGAACGAAGAAAAGCAGTTGAAATTTTTAATAAGAATAACAGATGGATGAAAAAGGGACTGCGTTTTAGTTTCTTAAAATGGGCTAGCACTATTGCCCCTTATTTTGATGTAAATATATCAGTTTATCATGTAGACGGTACTGTGTCATTGACCCATGGCGGAATAGAAATGGGTCAAGGTATAAACACAAAAGCAGCACAGATCTGTGCGTATTTTCTAAAAGTCCCGTTAGAAAAAGTTCAAGTTAAAGCAACGAATACCAATACCTGTCCCAACAGCTCTATTACTGCTGGTAGCTTTACGATACTTAGTATAGGAATAGGTGTTGAGAGGAGTTGCAAAGATTTGTTGCAGAGATTGGAACCGATCAGATCCAAAATGCCTTATGCCACGTGGCAAGAATTGATAGCCAAAGCGTTTGAAGAAAATGTTGATTTACAAGCTCACGGCTTCGTAAATAGGAATGATGTTGTTGCACAAAAATATAATATTTACGGTATAACACTGTCTNCGATACTTAGTATAGGAATAGGTGTTGAGAGGAGTTGCAAAGATTTGTTGCAGAGATTGGAACCGATCAGATCCAAAATGCCTTATGCCACGTGGCAAGAATTGATAGCCAAAGCGTTTGAAGAAAATGTTGATTTACAAGCTCACGGCTTCGTAAATAGGAATGATGTTGTTGCACAAAAATATAATATTTACGGTATTACACTGTCTGAAGTTTTAATTGATGTACTTACCGGAGAATATGAAGTGCTTCGAGTAGATATACTGGAGGATGTCGGTCAAAGTGTCAGTCCCGAGATTGATGTTGGACAAGTAAGTTATAGAATTGAGAATATTTTACTGGTGGTAGGACCTCTTGTGAGTCCGCGCGGGTAGGTACCACCACCCCGTGTGTTTCTACCGTGAAGCAGTAATGTGTTTCGGTTTGAAGGGTGGGGCAGCCGTTGTAACTATACTTGAGATCTTAGAAATTATATCACAAGGTGTGTTGCGCATTTACGTTGTAGATGTTTATGGGCTCCAGTAACCACTTAATGCCAGGTTTTTTTTTATTGCCCTTGTAGGCAGACGAGCGCACGGCAAACCTGATGGTGAGTGGTTACCGTCGCCCATGGACCTCAGCAATTCCAGGGGCAGAGCCAAGCCGCTGCCTACCGCACAGGTGGGCTGTGAGCTCGTCCACCCACATAGGCAATAATATATTTATATACCTGGTGCACATACTTATATATTTGTAATCAATTAATCAGAAACTCTGTACGCTATCAATTTAAAATTAGATTATAATAGATTAAGGATTTTTAAGTTGAATACTAATTTTGATAATATTGAAAACTATGTTTGTTTGGTCCACAGATAGAAGGGGCTTTCATTATGGGCTTAGGATACTGGACCACAGAGAGACTAGTCTATGACAAGAAGACCGGAGAACTGCTGACCGATACTTCTTGGACTTACTATGTTCCACAAGCGCGAGATATACCGCAGGACATGAGAGTTTATTTCAGAAAGAATTCTTATAGTAACCGACCCAGTTTTGGATCTAAAAGTTCGTAAAACAAATATTTGTTACTTCGTCCCCCTCCTATCTATTAGCTCCTCTGTCCTCAACCTTTCTGACGATTTTAATATCAACGGGAAACCGATGAAGATTTGAAAGTGCTTGAAAAGGTTTATTTGGATATTATTTACTTTTTGCAGTGTTTGTTGTCCCGAGTTGTGAAAAATACGCTTTCATTGTATTTATGTCATCTCTTTCATTTCATTACATTTTATTTCCATTCTTATACCGTAATAGAATTAGTTTAGTGTGGGAAATTTCATACTCCTCCGTCCGCGCAATTTTCGTAAAAAGGGATAAAAAGTTTTTGCTTCACCTATTAATATATATAATCAAAGATTAGTTCATACCTTTCAGAATACTGTTTGAACTTTGCTGAGAAATGAGGTGGTGTTAGAAACTATAGATTCTACAGTAAGCAGTTTTAATTGTTAACTATCCGAAGTACAAAACTTTTTGCTGAGTATTTTATGTTATTGCACACATGCTTTTTGTCATCGAAGACAGTCGCTTACAGGTCATCTAAGTGCTTGGTTATGCTTGTGGAGATCCATATTATGTTTTCTATACTATTTAATTTATAATAACGTAACGTGCTCTGAGGAATTGTTTGAGATGATTCCCTCATCTCCTTTTTATCACCGCACCTCCTGCCATCGGAGCAAAGTTCATCCATATTATCTGGAACCACTGCGTTCATCGGCAGTGCGTTTCGAAAGATCTTTTTTGCCACGTACCCTCCGGCTATGGAATGAGTTCCCCTCCACGTGTTTCCCGAGCGCTATGACATATCCTTCTTCAAACGAGGCTTGTGGAGAGTATTAAGCGGTAGGCAGCGGCTTGGCTCTGCCCCTGGCATTGCTAAAATCCATGGGTGACGGTAACCACTCACCATCAGGTGGGCCGTATGCTCGTCTGCCTACAAGGGCAATTAAAAAAAAACAGTGATGTACAAAATTCACCCATTTTTATCACTAATTAATTAAGATTAAAATTATTATTTTTATTTGTCTATAGGATTTAGTATTCTGATACAGTTTGTACAGAAATCTTTATATATACAACATTATTTACAGTGACCGGGGAGCCGCCAATGTGCATGACAATTTCTGTGCCTCTAGCTATTAGAGAAGCCATCACATCTGCGCGACGAGAATCCGGGATACCATCAACGCAGTGGTTTGACATTGGTAATAATATATATATGGCTGGATTAGTTGCTCGTTGGCAAATGGCTTTTAATTTGTTACTGTGTTAAATGGGAACATTGGCACTATGTTCACCGTAATTTGATTGCTCTTTTTTCCCCACCTATGCTGATAGCCTTGAGAGGCTATTTCAGCTTCTCCTTGACGTGTAGGTGAGCTCACGGGGCTCAAACCGGAGTGTTGCCAACACTGACCCTAGCAAGAGCAGTGCTTCGAGAATCTACCACCGGATTGGAAACGTGACCCACTGAGGAGATCCGGCGAGAAACTCGACGAGTGAGCTGTGTCTATACGTTAATGTCCTCGTCGAGCCCTTCGTCGCAAGCGACGGGTTCGGGGAGGACGGTGACCGATGATTGATCATAGAATACTTACTACAAGATTGCTGTGATATGATATGCCATGGTATGAAGTATAATAAAAATGTATAACGTAATAACCTACCTGTTCATGAACGATTTACCGGCACATTATATCCGTGATTTAAAATTGAAACCGCAAACTTCGCGAATTCATGTAGTTGTAGCGCGTAGATATCATACGTATAGAAGATGTTTAACAGATGCCTAAAGCTCGCTAACAACAAGTTCTAAAGAATAGCATTCGGACCGTAGGGATACCGAGCAATTCCGTCAGCTCAGTGGAAGATATTTCTTTTGTATTTACCTCCAAATAAACAATGATGTTAGTAGAGAATGAGAAAGTACAAAGCTAATTTAAAAAAATGCGCATTTGGTTTTTATCAAATAATGCGATTCCTTCGCCGTTAAAGTTATTTATGAACATATCTTAAGTACGTATTACAAAAGTTGGTAAATTTGCCCGAAAAGAGTAAGTACACTGTGCATCTTACGTTTTAGATTACGTTGACTTTAACGTTTCTAATAGGACCCCGAAGCTTTCAAGCATTCTAGTTTGAAGCCTTTTTACATTACAATTAAGATTTTTACTTCACGCCTAGGGTTTTCAAATTGAGCCTATGGGCTCCGCAATCACAGGCCACTCGCTGAACTACTGATAATAGCTATCTATCTTGTTCTAATTGTTTTATTATCTAATTTCAGATGGACCCTACAATTTGGAGAGCGTGTGCTTGTCATCGGCGACAGACATTAAAGATTTCAAATTTTATTAATAATTACATTTTACGACGTTTTCTTTTTGAATTGTTTTGTGAAAATATCATTCAAGGCTTTGCGATTGATGTGTCTATCAAACTAATATTGGATTACGTATTTGAAAATATTTAAATAAACTAATGTAATGCATGTAGATTTTAAATTTGAAGTTGATACTACTTACTACTTCATTATTAGTTAAGTTTGAAACTGTTGAAGTACACTTTATATATTTTTTATCGAGATACCTACTCAGCGATATTGCGACACATGTGATTTTGTACAATTAATGTTATCTTGTAAATGAGAGAGATGAGACATGAGAACGGGAACATTCTACATACACAGTATATTTTCAACGGTGGCTATAATTGGTGGCTTAATACCGGACATGAATGTATGTATTTACTACATGAATTCGAAAAGCAACGAGACTTAAAAAAATAGAACAGATTTACTTGTCTCTTTAACAACAAGTCAAACAAACATAGGCAGGTGTTTGGATTTGTTGACCCCATTGCATCGACACAGTTGTCTACTTGGAGATTTGTTGGAGGTTTGATTTGACAAGTTTAACGTCTCAATTTCTTTCATAAGATCCAATAGCTGAACATACAGGAATACTTTTGCCATTTAAAAAAAAATGAAATGGTAATGCGTTGTCAATTACATTTATTTCTAAAATAAATGAACTAACAAACATAGAGCGACAAACAGATAACACTTAAATCAAGTTACGTTTCTCAAAATTAGGTAAATTTATATCAACGTTATCAACTTTCTTCTGTACTTCATCTAATTCTTTTAAAATGTTCTCTTCACTGCTATATCTCTTCAATCTTTTATCGTCTATGAAAGATAGACCATTGTCATAATCTTCTTCGGCATTCGGTAGACTCTTATTGTTATCTTTCTTTAATATTTCTGCAAAATACTGCCTGCTGTTATGAATCATTTTTGGAGTCACCCCAATCTTATCCGAATCTGTTTCAAACTCTATACTGTATCTTTTATTGCAAACGGGACATATTTTAAATTCTTGTGACCTCTTACTTTTTGATTTGTCAGTCGTTGTAGCTTTCGTTGATTTCGGCACCTCGTTCTTCTTGCAATTAGCACAAGTCTTCCTTTTTTTGGCTTTTTTGTTCTTTGGAGATTTATTATGGAAAAAAAACGGTATCTTCATCTCTTTGAATGCACTGAAATTTGCAAGTACCTCAGTTATTTTATTTTCGATCGGTAAGAAAATCATGGGGCTTGATACGAAGATCCCGCCGAGTCATGTTGTCCAGAGTGTGTTACCAAGTTTTGTAGCTGGCCTTACTCGGTTTTGTCAGAGACAGTGTGATGATGATCAATCTTTTGCAAATACACACTAAGAATTTACCGTATTGGTTATGTAACGCCTTCGAAAAACAAGTATTAATGCTCTTATTTGTTAACCTACTAAAGTAATTGCAGACGAAGTAGTAGACTATTGCTAGATAAGAAGTAAACTAAGAAGTAGACTATTGCCGTAGATAAGTAAACAGCCAAAATAAATTGTATAATTAATTTACCAATTAACCGTATATACATTTAACTTATGGTGGTAGGTGGTAGGAGGTGAGTCCTTCCTATTTCTGCCGTGAAGCAGAAATGCGTTTCAGTTTGAATGGTGGGGTAGCGTTTGTAACTGTACTAAGACCTTCGATCAATAATACTCTGAGACCTTAGAACTCATATCTCAAGGTGGGTGGGCGCATTTAAGTTGTAGATGTCTATGGGCTCCAGTTACCACTTAATACCAAGTGAGCTGTGAGCCCGTCCACCCGTCTAAGTAATAAATAAATAAAACTACATAAAATATTACAATGTAGAGTATCCTTTTTTTATACTACTATCATTGTAGCGCTTGTACAGCCACAATCTGCAGCGATCAGACAAAAATAGTAAGCTCAATTAGGAGATAATAAGAGGCGTACGAATCACTCTGACCTCCCATCCGCAATAGGGTAGATACCAAAATCTGGAACAGTACTTAGACAGAAACTGTAAATGTAGAATTTCAAAAAAAGTTTATCTACCACATTTCCTGCGATACGCAGTTTAATAATTAACTTAAAAAAATCTTACCATTTCTTTCCAGTACTTTGTACATCACTTCTACTAATAAGCAAATCGTCGCGACTTCTCATTTTATTCGCCGATTCATCATCATTCAGAACAAAGCCCTTATTTTCAGACAATGCGTCCAGATCAACATACCCATTGTTCATTATATCCTCGTACTCAGAAGGGCCAGGGTTTAATTCCGCCGGCTTATCCTTGTATCTCAAACTGTCTTCGACTTTGTTTCCAAGGTCATCTAAGAGGTAATTGTAATCGCTTCCCATTGAAGGCCTGTTATTGCTGTAAGTATTATTAATTCAAGTTTTGCTTATATTTAGAATTTTCATATTTATTATTAGCATAAAATTTTGGTGTCATTTAAATTCATTATTATTGTGTTAGTTATCTGGGTCAAATAAAACAATAGCTTGATCAATTTCTTTCAACGGATCGTGAGTTTGGATCAGTGATGTCAATAATCAATAATCTCATAATCTATACTAATATTATAAATCGGAAGAGTTTGTTTGTTTGAACGCGCTAATCTCAGGAACTACTGGTCTGATTTGAAATTTTTTTTCAGTGTTAGATAGTCCATTTACTGAGGAAGGCTATAGGCTATAATATAGCATCACGGTAAGACCAATACAAGTTGAGCACCAATAAATAATGTTTCAAAATAGGGGTTTAGATAGTTTCCTTAACATTCTATAATTCAAAAATATTTTCACTTTATGCGTAAATGAAGTGGGGGGTAAAATTTGGAATTATGCCAAAGTAACTATTCCACGCGGACGGAGTCGCGGGCAAAAGCTTGTTATTAACAAATAATACGTAAAATTTTCACACTCTTAGCAGTTGTTTTGATTTTGGTGTTTGATGTTAAGAACACGGGAAATACTTGCGGCAATAAGATCAATCTTTTATAAGGACGCCTAAACTAAAGTTTGAAGAGTCCTAACCAGCAGTTTGGTTGTTACAATGCTAATCTCGGTGATGACTCACAATCAGGTGGACTGAATGCTGGACGGTATTTTAATTTTATAAGGGAAATAAAATATATGTACTGTTACTATTAATGCATTAAACATTACACCAGATAAAAGTTTTCATAAGGCGTAATTCATTAGGGACAAAAGTATATCTCGTCTTTAACATTTCATTTCATTTCTAAGGTCAGTGAAGTTGATGTTTAGAGCTAAATAGTAAATAAAATGTAATAAATCGTGTAAAAAAAATGAAACCCGCAAAATTATAATTTGCGTAATTACTGGTGGTAGGATCTCTTGTGAGTCCGCGCGGGTAGGTACCACCACCCTGCCTATTACTGCCGTGAAGCAGTAATGCGTTTCGGTTTGAAGGGTGGGGCAGCCATTGTAACTATACTTGAGACCTTAGAACTTATATCTCAAGGTGGGTGGCGCATTTACGTTGTGGATGTCTATGGGCTCCAGTAACCACTTAACACCAGGTGGGCTGTGGGGCAGGTGGGCTCGTCCACCCATCTAAGAAATAAAAAATAAAAATAAAAAAAATCAATAAAATTTCTTGAAAAATATCACTTATCGGAATTTATGGCACCTGCTATAATCTTAAAAGTCTTCACTCAAATTCCAAGCGTCATTGTATGGCAATGGAACAACAATGTGAGAACAGTTAGGGTAAAGGTAAACAACCATACAAACACACATGCTCACTTTAGTTTGTGATTATATTATGAAAAAGAAACACATCTTCTAACCGTTTGTTGTATGAATTATAATCATAAGATCCTTCGTTATCTTTAGTTATAAAATCATCAAGGTTGAAAAGTGCAAGATCTTTATCCCGACGGAATCTTTTCTCTTTGTATTTCGGATCTTCATTTTCCTTTACGTTTCTAAGAGCGTGATCTTGGTTAGTTAGCGTGTAAGTGTGTATGCATTGTGTTAATATGAAGCAATAGTAGATGAAATAGTATTGTAACATTTTCGGACATGTTAGCTGATTGACGTTGTCATGTGATTGTCAGCCTTGTCTGGTTTTTAGATGAATTGGGGTTTTGTTGGAGGTTGGTTTACGTTTTGTGAAGAATATAGGGGTAGTAAATTATATAATGGTAGTAAATAAATTGCATCATCTCGTCATCAGCCTATAGCAATTCACTGCACTAAAAATACATAAATACATAATTACGAAGATATTCTCAAAGTACATAAGTTGCATAAGTTCTGTAACATCATTCAAGCCGGGGCGCATTTGTACCGTGTGTCTGTGGAATCTCGTATCCACTGAACACCAGGTAATCCGTAAACGCGGTAATCTATCGAAGCAACTTAGAGACATAATATGTGTTCCCATAACTTCAACTATGCATAATTGAGGCCCTCAGTGCTAAAGTGGCCTAACCCACAATTTTTCATAATCATGCATAAAATTATGTAGGTATATAGCAATATATTTTAAAATATAATAAATTTTGATGCAAAACCAGCCTATCCATAGTTTCACCCATAGATAACAGATGGCTTTGTAAACATTTTTTTTTGCATATTGTTTTTTTGCCTATTAAAATTCATGAAAACTTAAACCTCATTGTTTCATAATAACAAATATAAGCTTAGGCCATTTTTGCGCTGATGGCCTCAATCAGTTAGGGGCCGCATATGCGTGCTCTGTTTGTCTCGCTCCTTTGTATACTAATATCACGCAACAAAGAAAAAAAAACACTTTTTTTACAAAGAGAATTTTTCCGCGTATTAAATAAGGGACTATCGCCAACAGAACGCTGGCTCGCACTTCCTAGAATTACCTAATTACTTTGACCGTATTCGTCGCTTGGGCCCAAAAGGGTTCCATGTAATATGTTGATAAGGGTGCACAACGGTAGGGCCAGAAGTTAATTGATAAGGGCGGAGTGCACTTACGGTACTTACGAAGGACGTAACCGTACAGTAAAGGTTTTAAAAGTACATTAATATTTAGTATAACTATGGTTGTTTTTGAAACAGTTTTCATTGGTGTAGGGGAAATGTATTTTTAATTGCTATGTAAATTTTACTATTGGGCAAATGATCGAGTAAGCGACGTGTAGGGGCTCACAGAGTGATTAAATATTATCACCTACTTACAGTTGTTTTACTCTTTAAACGAAGTAAAGAAAGTTCGTGGCAGAAATAGATAGTGACACTTGTGTTTGAGGGATAATTAGACAACCTGCCACCACCTACCACCACCCTGCCACACATACTGCCACATGATTCCTTGGTTTGACGTTTGTTTTCCCCTACCTAACCCTTAGTAGCCTAAGGGGCTATTCCAACCTGAGAAAATTGCTAGCCCTAGCCTTAGCAAGAGCAGTGCTTCGTTGAATCTACTATTGGAACGGAATGGCAACCCATTGAGAAGATCCGGCTAGAAACTCACTCATTCAGCATAGAAGTTGTTCATAGACATGTATATATTGTTGTGTATTCATTTTAAAAACTTGTCCCGTAATATTATAAATATCACGAGATGCTAATTAATCTGGCGTTTTATGCATTAGACCGTGGTTGTTCAGTAATGTGCAAGTACATCGCTCTTGTTGCTATACTTGAGACCTTAGAACTTGTATCTCAAGGTGGGTGGCGCATTTACGTTGTGGATGTCTATGGGCTCCAGTAACCACTTAACACCAGGTGGGCTGTGAGCTCGTCCACCCATCTAAGCAATAAAAAAAAAACATTGATTATGAAAACGCTGAATGAAAATTTACTGGTGGTAGGACATATTATGAGTCCGCACGGGTAGATACTACCACCTTGCCTTTTTCTGCAGTGAAGCAGTGATGCGTTTCGGTTTGAAGGGTGGGGCAGCCGTTGTAACTATACTGAGACCTTAAAACTTAAATCTCAAGGTAGGGTACAGCATTTACGTTGTAGATGTCTATGGGCTCCGGTAACCACTTAACACCAGGTGGTCCGTGAGCTCGTCCGCCAATCTAATCAATAAATAAACAACATTATAAATTCGTTGATAGTATAATACACATAATTTACCTAAATTTATAAGAAACTATCAGCCAGGCTAGGGTGTGGATTCACTCGGGTTAATGAAAAAAATACTCAAGAATAGTATATTTTCTAAATAAAAGGTGACCCAAAACTGCTGTAGCAATGAAAATACTTACATGTAGATGTGAAAGCGTAACAAAAACAAACAAACACGCTTTCGCATTTATAATGTTACTATGAATTCTTAATTTTAAAATGTGTTCACATTTCGTAACTCTTTCAATAAATAATACCTTATTTTATCCGGTTTCGGTGAATTGTCAATTATTACGAAGATAATCAGGTTCCGGTGTCTGCCGGCTCCCCGTTAACGATCCTAAAGAGCGCAATAATAATCTATTTATTAATACGTGAAGCAAAAACTTTGTACCTCTTTTTACGAAAATTGCGCGGATGGAGGAGTATGAAATTTTCCACACCTATACAGAATATAGAGAAGAAGTGCACAATGCGAATATTTTTTTTAAAAGAATGCATAAAAGATACATTAAATCAATAAAGAAACGGATGGGTACAAGGAGCGTGGGGCGTCCTCCAACCAGGTGGACTGACGACTTAGTGCGCACGGCGGGAAGTCGTTGGATGCGGAAGGCGGAGGACCGCATTATGTGGAAGGCATTGGGGAAGGCCTATGTCCAGCAGTGGGCAGATAAAGGCTGATGATGATGATGATGATGAATAAAGAAACATTACACACACTACATACCAGGTATTTGACGCACACACGCATGCATACTATTTACTATCAAACTTTTGTTCTTGACGTCTGTGGTCAAATTGAGAATAGATTAAATATTTTTTGTCTTTATTAATATTTTTTTAGCTTTTAGCTTTGGCGAAATTTGTGATTATAGAAGTATAAAATACAATCATAATAGTGTACAAACTTACAATTCCAATTAATTATAGTCGAATTTCGACTACTACGGGACCTCTAGTTATTGTAAATAGACATGCTTTAACTAAAACCGACTTCAAATAGAAAAAAAAAGAAGATATTTCAAAACAAATTAATATACACTAAAACAATAATCATCGAAATCGGTTGGCGTGATATTGAGTTATTGAGTTATTCATCTATTTGTCGCGCACATACTTAATGCAAATTTAAGACTTATATGGTTTTCTCATGGATACCATTACCAGAACTGGACTAAACTGAAATGGGACCACACGGGAAGCGTCAGCTTTCTAGTAAAAAAAAGAATCATCAAAATCGATTCATCCAGTCAAAAGTTATGAGGTAACAAAAATAAAAAAACATAGTCAAATTGAGAACCTTCTCCTTTTTTGAAGTCGGTTAAAAATCTCAATCACATCGTATCGGATAGTTTAAACAAGACTCAAATGTTAATAAAGCCGAGTGTGTCTGGAATCTTATTATAAGCTCTAACAGTTGCAGCGCTAAGTTAATTGGTGAGGAAGCTAATTAATTAAATTAATACAGCGGAAAAATGAGCTTCTATATAACAAATTAATAGAATACAGACTGTCACGTACCTAAGCTTTTACTGGGAATTTTTTATATGCTTTTAATAACTTGACCTACATATACTTAGTCTGGCCATAAATACTGTTACAATTAAAAATAAACAAAATAATACATTTGAATTTGGAATCTGTCATTTTTCTATGATTGCTCATTGAGTTTTCTCATTTTGGCGCCAATACATTGTACAATATTTTGCGATATTAAAATGGAGTGGGGTGATAAAGAGAACCGAATCGCTGTGATTGCATTACACAAAGTAGGTATGGAGCCAAATGCAATTTTGAAAACTCTCCATACGCTTGGTATTAGTAAAATGTTTGTGTACCGGGCTATTAATAGGTGCAATGGAGACTTCCTCTGTCTGTGACAGAAAAAGATCTAGCTGTCCACGTAGTGTTCGTACAAAAAAGATGGTCAAAGCAGTAAGGAAAAGAATTCGAAGAAATCCTGTCCGAACGCAAAATATTTTATCTCGGGAGATGAAGATAGCACCTAGAACCATGTCGCGTATTTTGAAAGGTGACTTAGGACTTGCAGCCTATAAGAGACGTACTGGTCATTTCTTAATTGATAATTTAAAAGAGAATAGGGTGGTAAAATCAAAACAACTACTGAAGCGGTACGCAAAGGGAGGTCATAGAATTTTTTTACAATTGAGCAACATTTTAACAAACAAAATGACCGCATTTATGCTCAAAGCTCTAAGGAAGCTTCCTAATTAGTCGACAGAGTGCAACGTGGGCACAATCCCACTTCAGTGATGGTTTGGTGGGGTATTAGCTATGAAGGAGTGACTGAGCCATACTTTTGTGAAAAAGGTATCAAAACATCGGCACAAGTGTATCAAGATACCATTCTTGAGAAGGTAGTGAAGCCCCTTAACAACACCATGTTCAATAATCAAGAATGGTCCTTCCAGCAAGACTCGGCGCCAGGTCATAAAGCTCGGTCTACGCAGTCTTGGTTGGAAACGAACGTTTCGGACTTCATCAGAGCTGAAGACTGGCCGTCGTCTAGTCCCGATCTTAATCCGCTGGATTATGATTTATGGTCAATTTTAGAGAGTACGGCTTGCTCTAAACGCCATGATAATTTGGAGTCCCTAAAACAATCCGTACGATTGGCAGTGAAAATTTTTCCCATGGAATGAGTGCGTGCTTCTATAGATAACTGGCCTCAACGTTTAAAGGATTGTATTGCAGCCAATGGAGACCACTTCGAATAAGCTTCTTATACTTTAAATTGTTTTATATTTATGTATTAAACTAACACACTGTAAAAGTAATAAATGTTATTTGCAATAGATTTTTTTTCCTTTGTCTCAGTATTGATGGCAAGACTAGGTATTTAGGTAGCTACAATTTTAGACATGTAGCAAACTCGCTACATTATTTCTTACACATTTATGTAGCCATGAATTTGGCTAATCAACCTACTGCTTCTTTTGAGCAGGAAAAAATATGATATTTATTAATTTGGAATCTGTTCCAAGTAATTTAAATTGAATACTAAGACAACAGAGTTTACCGCTTGCAGTAAATGTAAATATGATTTATTTGGACACAGCCCATCAACAAATAATATTTCTTTGAAAACAACTGTGATCAACCTGGTGCATCAGAACTTACAAGGTTTGTTGGGTAAAGAACTTGAAATTGATTTGATCCTAGATTATAAAGTCATTGTTCTATGTGTAACTGAACATTGGCTTAAAAAATATGAATTAAATTGTAATTTTAAAAATCACCAGGCTATGAGTTCCTTCTGCAGAGAGAATGCTATAGGAGGTGGCTCACTTATCATTGTTAATAAAGATTATAAATGCAAGGAACGTAGAGACATTGTGAGTCTCTCTTTTTTTTTTTATTGCTTAGATGGATGGACGAGCTCACAGCCCACCTGGTGTTAAGTGGTTACTGGAGCCCATAGACATCTACAACGTAAATGCGCCACCCACCTCGAGATATAAGTTCTAAGATCTCAGTATACACAAGAGTCCTACCACCAGTGATTACGCAAATTATAATTTTGCGGGTTTGATTTTTATTACACGATGCTATTCCTTCACCGTGGAAGTAAATCGTGAACATTTGTTGAGTACGTATTTCATTAGAAAAATTGGTACCCGCCTGCGGAATTCGAACACCGTTGCATCGCTATATAAGAATGCACCGGATTTTATGAAATAAATTGAGATGTCAAACTAGTCAAATCAAATCTCCAACAAATCTCCAAGTAGGCAACTGTATTGACGCAATAGGGTCAACAAATACAAAACACCGTTTGTTTGACTTGTTGTTAAAGAGACACGTAAATCTATTGTTATAAATTGGAATACTCAGAAATATTGTATTAAAATGCAATTTTCATCGTCTCGCTGTTCGAGTTACTGAGCCTAATTATGATTCATGGAGTATGCTATTTTTTGAAGTCTAGTTGCTTTTCGAATTCATGAAGTAAATACATACATTCATGTCCGGTATTAAGCCACCAATTATACCGTTGAAAATATACTGTGTATGTAGAATGTTCCCGTTCTCATGTCTCATCTCTCTCGTTTACAAAATAACATTAATTGTACAAAATCACATGTGTCGCAATATCGCTGAGTAGGTATCTCGATAAAAAATATATAAAGTATACTTCAACAGTTTCAAACTTAACTAATAATGAAGTAGTAAGTAGTATCAACTTCAAATTTAAAATCTACAAGCAATAAATTAGTTTATTTAAATATTTTCAAATACGAACTACAATATTAGTTTGATAGACACATCAATCGCAAAGCGTTGAATGATATTTTTACAACATAATTCAATAAAATATGATTATTAATAAAATTTGAAATATTTTATGTCTGTCGCCGATGACAAGCACACGCTCTCCAAATTGTAGGGCCCATCTGAAATTAGATAATAAAACAATTAGATACAGATAGAGAGCTATTATCAGTAGTTCAGCAAGCGGCCTCGTAGGTGATAACGGAACCCATAGGCTCAATTTGAAAACTCTAGGCGTGAAGTAAAAATCTTAATTGTAATGTAAAAAGGCTTCAAACTAGAATGCTTGAAAGCTTGGGGGTCCTATTAGAAACGTTAAAGTCAAAGTAATCTAAAACGTAAGATGCACAGTGTACTTACTCTTTTCGGGCAAATTTACCAACTTTTGTAATACGTACTTAAGACATGTTCATTAATAACTTAACGGCAAAGGAATCGCATTGTTTGATAAAAACCAAATGCGCATTTTTTTTAAATTAGCTTCGTACTTTCTCATCCTCTACTAACATCATTGTTTATTTGGAGGTAAATACAAAAGAAATATCTTCCACTGAGCTGATGGAACTGCTCGGTATCCCTACGGTCCGAATGCTATTCTTCAGAACTTGTTGTTAGCGAGCTTTAGGCATCTGTTAAACATCTTCTATGCGTATGCTATCTACCCGCTACAACTACATGAATTCGCGAAGTTTGCGGTTTCAATTTTAAATAACGGATATAATGTGCCGGTAAATCGTTCATGAACAGGTAGGTTATTACGTTATACATTTTTATTATACTTCATACCATGGCATATCATATCACAGCAATCTTGTAGTAAGTATTCTATGATCAATCATCGGTCACCGTCCTCGCCGAACCCGTCGCTTGCGACGAAGGGCTCGACAAGTACATTAACCCATAGACACAGCCCACTCGTTGAGTTTCTCGCCGGATCTCCTCAGTGGGTCACGTTTCCGATCCGGTGGTAGATTCTCGAAGCACTGCTCTTGCTAGGGTCAGTGTTGGCAACACTCCGGTTTGAGCTCCGTGAGCTCACCTACACGTCAAGGAGAAGCTGAAATAGCCTCTCAAGGCTATCAGTATAGGTATAGGAACATAGTGCCAATGTTCCCATTTAACACAGTAACAAATTAAAGGCTATTTGCCAACGAGCAACTATATAATATTACCAATGTCAAACCACTGCGTTGATGGTATCCCGGATTCTCGTCGCGCAGATGTGATGGCTTCTCTAATAGCTAGCGGCACAGAAATTGTCATGCACATTGGCGGCTCCCCGGTCACTGTAAATAATGTTGTATATATAAAGATTTCTGTACAAACTGTATCAGAATACTAAATCCTATAGACAAATAAAAATAATAATTTTAATCTTAATTAATTAGTGATAAAAATGAGGGAATTTTGTACATCACAGTTTTTTTTAATTGCCCTTGTAGGCAGACGAGCATACGGCCCACCTGATGGTGAGTGGTTACCGTCACCCATGGATTTTAGCAATGCCAGGGGCAGAGCTAAGCCGCTGCCTACCGCTTAATACTCTCCACAAGCCTCGTTTGAAGAAGGATATGTCATAGCGCTCGGGAAACACGTGGAGGGGAACTCATTCCATAGCCGGAGGGTACGTGGCAAAAAAGATCTTTCGAAACGCACTGTCGATGAACGCAGTGGTTCCAGATAATATGGATGAACTTTGCTCCGATGGCAGGAGGTGCGGTGATAAAAAGGAGATGAGGGAATCATCTCAAACAATTCCTCAGAGCACGTTACGTTATTATAAATTAAATAGTATAGAAAACATAATATGGATCTCCACAAGCATAACTAAGCACTTAGATGAGCTGTAAGCGACTGTCTTCGATGACAAAAAGCATGTGTGCAATAACATAAAATACTCAGCAAAAAGTTTTGTACTTCGGATAATTAACAATTAAAACTGCTTAGTGTAGAATCTATAGTTTCTAATACCACCTCATTTCTCAGCAAAGTTCAAACAATATTCTGAAAGGTATGAAGTAATCTTTGATTATCTATATATTAATACGTGAAGCAAAAACTTTTTATCCCTTTTTACGAAAATTGCGCGGACGGAGGAGTATGAAATTTTCCATACTAAACTAGTTCTATTACGGTATAACCATAGAAATAAAATGTAATGAAATGAAAGAGATGACATAAATCCAATGAAAGCGTATTTTTCACAACTCGGGACAACAAACACTGCATAAAGTAAATAATATCCAAATAAACCTTTTCAAGCACTTTCAAATCTTCATGGGTTTCCAGTTGATATTAAAACCGTCAGAAAGGTTGAGGACAGAGGAGGTAATAGATAGGAGGAGGACGAAGTAACAAATATTTGTTTTACGAACTTTTAGATCCAAAACTGGGTCGGTTACTATAAGAATTCTTTCGGAAATAAACTCTCATATCCTGCGGTATATCACGCGCTTGTGGAACATAGTAAGTCCAAGAGGTATCGGTCAGTAGTTCTCCGGTCTTCTTGTCATAGACTAGTCTCTCTGTGGTCCAGTATCCTAAGCCCATTATGAAAGCCCCTTCTATCTGTGGACCAAACAAATATAATTTTCAACATTATCAAAATGTCAATTAGTACTTCACTTAAAAACCCCTAATCTATTATAATCTTATTATAAATTGGTAGCGCACAGAGTTTCTTATTAATTGATTACAAATATACCTAGGTTTTATTGCCTAGGTGGGTGGCCGAGCTCACAGCCCACCTGTGCGGTAGGCAGCGGCTAGGCTCTGCCCCTGGCGTTGCTGAAGTCCATGGGCGACGGTAACCACTCACCATCAGGTGGACCGTGCGCTCGTCTGCCTACAAGGGCAATAAAAAAAAACCTGGCGTTAAGTTGTTACTGGAGCCCATAAACATCTACAACGTAAATGCGCCACACACCTTGAGATATAATTTCTAAGATCTCAAGTATAGTTACAACGGCTGCCCCACCCTTCAAACCGAAACTCATCACTGCTTCACGGCAGAAACACACGGGGAGGTGGTAACTACCCACACGGACTCACAAGAGGTCCTGCCACTAGTAAAATATTCTCAATTCTATAACTTACTTGTCCAACATCAATCTCGGGACTGACACTTTGACCGACATCCTCCAGTATATCTACTCGAAGCACTTCATATTCTCCGGTAAGTACATCAATTAAAACTTCAGACAGTGTTATACCGTAAATATTATATTTTTGTGCAACAACATCATTCCTATTTACGAAGCCGTGAGCTTGTAAATCAACATTTTCTTCGAACGCTTTGGCTATCAATTCTTGCCACGTGGCATCAGGCATTTTGGATCTGATCGGTTCCAATCTCTGCAACAAATCTTTGCAACTCCTCTCAACACCTATTCCTATACTAAGTATCGTAAAGCTACCAGCAGTAATAGAGCTGTTGGGACAGATATTGGTATTCGTTGCTTTAACTTGAACTTTTTCTAACGGGACTTTTAGAAAATACGCACAGATCTGTGCTGCTTTTGTGTTTATACCTTGACCCATTTCTATTCCGCCATGGGTCAATGACACAGTACCGTCTACATGATAAACTGATATATTTACATCAAAATAAGGGGCAATAGTGCTAGCCCATTTTAAGAAACTAAAACGCAATCCCTTTTTCAGCCATCTGTTATTCTTATTAAAAATTTCAACTGCTTTTCTTCGTTCTTTATATTTGGATTCCTTAATTAAAGTGTCAAGCATTTCTCTTAGATCTTTATGTGCTGGATCTAAGTTAGCAAGCCTTAATTCTATAGGATCTAAATTTGCTTCGTAGGCAATTCTGTCCATAAATAATTCAACGAATGACACAGCCTCTAGTGTGCCTGGAAAAAAATGACGGTTGATTAGAGCGGTGCGCGTACCAATGCAACAAAGCATCTGTCTTGTATCTTAGACATATTCTCATATTTCCGTACCTAAGTAGAATATTTAAAAAACTCACCAGGTGCTCTGAACCAGCTGTTTTTAGCAGTATCGGTGATTGTATTAATACACTGAAATGACCACGTAGATTTTTCATAGCAGTTATTATAAACATCTCTACTGATTGAAGGTATGATCTCATTGACTTTATAACCATTGTCTTCGTACAATTTGAAATTTAAGTATTGAATTATTCCACTTCGGTTTATTCCAGCCTTGAAAAAAAAATGTGTATTTAAAACTTACCGAATTATATAAAACGGTTTAGGTTTTTCTAATATTATGTAACATTAAAATTTCTGAAAAAAATCTGAAAAGGACAATACACTGTAAGTTCTTATTGGCGGTGGAATATCATTCGAACTCATGGCGGCAGCACAGCAAACAGTTCCTTTAGAACACGCCGACCTGTGTCGCACAAACACAATTTGGCACAAAGATAGTTTATATCATAGTATTTTTAATTTAAAATTTTATCGCGGTTTCTGACCCAGCCAAAGTCTAATACTCTATTATTATCTTATACCTTTAAACGAACAATTCTTGTATATATATGAATATATAGGTATATATAATCTGAATCTCGGAAACGGCTCCAACGATTTTCATAGAATTTAGTATACAGGGAATTTCGGGGGCGATAAATCGATCTAGCTACGATTTATTTTCAGAAAATTTTGTTTTATTCGTGTTTTCAATAATCAACTCTTCCCGACATGTATTGGCGAATAATAATACTATTTTTCTTAATTGAGGGCAACTAACCGCTTTAAAGACACAACAAGATGGCGTTATCAAAAAAAAACGAGCAAAGCTCGGTCATCGTCTAGTGCTATATATAAGCTAATACGATAGTACTCCCGCTTGTTTATGACTTTACGCCCAAACAGTTTTGAAGTCGTCGCGGCCTAACGGATAAGACGTCCGATGCATTCGTGTTGAGCGATGCACTGGTGTTCGAATCTCAGGCGGGTACTAATTTTTCTAATGAAATACGTACTCAACAAATGTTCAGGATTGACTTCTACGGTGAAGGAATAACATCTATTTATATATAAAAATTAATTGCTGTTCGTTAGTCTCGCTAAAACTCGAGAACGGCTGGACTGATTTGGCTAATTTTGGTCTTAAATTATTTGTGCAATTCCAGAGAAGGTTTAAAATGTATATAAATATGAAAATGCTCGGAATTAAATAAAAATAACAATTTTGTTTTTCCTTTGTTGTGTCCTGTCCCCCGTCGGACGGATTCCTTTTGTTTGTTTTAAGTTTATTTTATACAAAAGCTTAAATCTGATATTAATCCATTGAGGCACTGCGAAGTCTGCCGGGTCAGCTAGTCGTGTAATAAAAATGAAACCCGCAAAATTATAATTTTACGTAATTACTGGTGGTGACACCTCTTGTGAGTCCGCGCCATCCTGCCTATTTCGCAGTAATTCGTTTCGGTTTGAAGGCTGAAGCAGCCGTTGTAACTATACTTGAGACCTTAGAACTTATATCTCAAGGTGGGTGGCGCATTTACGTCGTAAATGTCTATGGGTTCCAGTAACCACTTAACACCAGGTGGGCTGTGAGCGCGTCCACCCATTTAGCAATAAAAAAAACAGATCTAGAAATCGGCTGATAGTTTATCGATAGAAACTAATGAAACTCGATCCCGGGTTTTTCTTTGATTACAAATTTAACATAATGTAAGTGAAACGACGAAATGTATGATTAAATAATTACTTCCATATCAGCAATACACGGAAATCTCTTTCCGTAAGCTCTTGTAGTAGTTGAGAGTGGAAGTACGAAGCGACATGGCCTGTTCAATTTGAATGATACCAAACTGCACGACACGGCTACTTGGTTGGACCTCGTGACCTTGATACCGTAAGATCCTCCTAAACGCCGGACTTTTATGTCTATCCTGTAATCAGTTGAATAAAACGCACCATTAAAATACAAAATCTGCACTCAACACTTGTCTATATCAAAAAATTTGAATCTTTAATTTTCAAAAATAGTAAATCTAAGTATGGTAGGCGAGGAATGTTGAAAAAACGACTAAAGCTTTCTGTGGCTCAACAATCATTCAGTCTTATGAAGCAGAACTCGACCGAGGCAGACCAAGCCAAGCTGGTGCTCGTCAACGACATGAGTCATGACAACCATTAACTCGTTCGATCAATGGGCTTTGCGAAATTTGCCAAAATGGGTCCACTAACTCATACCCTTGGATTAAAATCGACGCTTGCAGAAACTTTAACAAGCAATACCGTCACCCAGCTGCTCTATCGCAAGACCGGTGCAAAGCAGCTTACACGTCGTCTAATTAGATTTCCGTATCCATTTGTAGACATCAGTCTACAACTGTAGACAGTCTGTAGACTGTCTACAGTTGTAGACAGTCTGTAGACTGATGTCTTCAAATGGATGAAATCCGAAGTACTTAAAGGGGTCGTGATTTAAGTGAGATTCTTTACTTCACTCTGTGACCGACGTTGACGGCTTAATGTGGAGATGAGGGCACCATCTTTGAAAGTCGCTACTTCGTTCTGCAAGCCTGGTTCTACAGAGATCTGCCTCAAAAATGCTACACACCTGTATATCGAGTGATTAGAATATAATTCATAAGCCTTACCTATTAGCGTCTAAATTCAAAGCTTTTGATATCACAGCCTGCACACCATCCATATTTTGGACAGAAGGATAGACCTGTAATCCTTCTTCAGTTGAAAGCGTTACACAAACTAAAATTTCCATACTAAAGTGGTATTGCCCATAAATAGTGGCATTTCCTTTGACAACTTGTGTGGTATCATGACCTCTAGTCGTTGCGTCTACAGAGGTTAGTATTGAATTTCTCTTTGGGTCTCTTATAGCATCACTAATATCTAGTACTGGTTTCCGGATATTTGTATACTTGATTTTAACATTTTTAGCAGCGATTACAGCTATATGTTGATATTCAGCTACAATTATCCCCAAAGGTTGATTATAGTATTTGACGTCCCCAGAACAAAGAATCTCTTCATCTGATGTGTTAACCGCTTCTTTTGGAATGAACGAATTTTTGCCAGGAATGTCTTTAGCCGTGTAGAATGCTATAACTCCTTTTATTTTCTGTGCGAAGAAAGGATGGATTTTTCATCGATTTTTTAAGTATAAACAAAATTAATTATGAAATGGAAAATACTTGTCATAATATAAGAAATAGACACATAGAAGTACTAAGTATATATTGGCATGACAAAATATTTTATTATGACTTGGGATTTGAAGGAAAAATGAATATAATAAATATACCTACTCACCAAAGCTTCTGAAGCGTCTATTGAGGCGATCTGTCCCAGAGCAACAGTACTTAAAACGAACGCACCAAATACTTCATAAGGTAACGAGGGTATGTCATCCACATACTCTGCTTCACCTGCACATTGTATCTGAAAATAATTTGAAAATTCTGTAATTGCATAAACAGATTTATCTAGTTTAGTTATCTAGTTTTTAAATAGAGACAAATTTGTAGTAAACATTTTCTAAGTTGATAAAACAACAAATCTCCTTGGGATCTCAAATAAAACTCAGCTCATCTCATCGAATGTTATTATACCTAAGTATAATAATTACAACATTTAGGAATACATTACGTACTACAGTACTGATCCACAGATGTAGTTGGTTTTTTGAATAAACATGATATCAGCATTTTAATGAATTATAACGAAGAGACCGAAGAGTAACAAAGGGATATAAGGGCTTATTGAATAACAATTAACGAAATTAACACTTAACGAAGCCGCAATTGGTTAGTAAATATGTCGTATATATATCACCCTAATAATAGTTATTGCGTTAATCCAATTTGAAATCCTCTCGTGTCAAGTAATAATGACGAATGTAATCTATATATATAAAAATGAATTGCTGTTCGTTAGTCTCGCTAAAACTCGAGAACGGCTGGACCGATTTGGCTAATTTTGGTCTTGAATTATTTGTGGAAGTCCAGAGAAGGTTTAAAAGGTAGATAAATATGAAAATGCTCGGAATTAAATAAAAATAACAATTTTGTTTTCCCTCTGATGTGTCCCCCGTCGGACGGATTCCTTTGGTTTGTTTTAAGTTTATTTTATACAAAAGTTTAGGTCTTTTATTTATCGATTGAGGCACTACGAAGTCTTCCGGGTCAGCTAGTCAGCAATAAAATAAACTTACAAATACATGCATTTCAGTTTTGTGGGTCCTAAATCCGATATTTTAATGAATGATTTACTGAAATGTCAATCGATCTCAAAGTGAACGACTCACGTCCATCCATTTTCGTCTGTAAATTTATTATGTCTCAAAAAGCCATATATAACTTTAAAGCTATTAAATATCTTTAAAACTCACCAATGATTCTAACTTTGGGATTGGCTGATTTAAAGGCCAAAGTGCAGAATTTGTTTCATAATTTTGCTCTCCACGTGATAAAGGTCTTGCCTTACGGAGAAATGTAGCTCCAGAGAGATACCTTGGATTTATGTTGTTTGATGAACAAAAATATAAGAGACCCTGTAAAAGAATTTGATCACGTTCCACTAGTAAAATTCAACTGACCAACCTGATGGATCGTTGTCGTTAGATAAGAACATAACTTAATTAGATCTATGAGGAAAATTTATATGATAACACAAGATCATAGAAAGTAAGAGGACAGATAATTAGTTGGTTGGCTAATAAATGTAGATCGATAACTATACTCCAATATCATCTGTGTTTTGTAGAGATTGATGGTACGTATTTGTAACGATAATACAAAAAAATCCTTATATAATTTGTACAGACTGAATCAGGAATATTTAATGTCTTTTGGGAATATTTCTATTTTTTCATATGAAATGACTAGTTTATGTGAGTGCTCTGTTGGATGATATTAAAATGGGAAAAGTGAATTTAATTTTTAAATTAATATTTTTAAACCTAAATCGAACCGCAGTTATTTCTCTATTGCTCCCGTCTCTGCCATGTCTTACCTTTTTAGGTCACACAGATAATTTTATTGTTCGAATCACCTTAGTATTACTAATCTTCTGTAGGATAATAGATTTAGGTCTACAATAACTTTATTATTTTGTATTTTATTGTAAACTAATGCTGCTGTAACTGTAACATATTACGACGGTGACCCGTAATCGATCACGTCGAACCCATTGCTTGCGACGAAGGGCTCGGCGAGCGAATTAACTTACAGACACAGCCCACTGATTTTCTTGCCGGATCTTCTCAGTGGGTCGCGTTTCTGATCCGGTGGTAGATTATGCGAAGCACGGCGCTTGCTAGGGTTCATGTTAACAACATCGTCAGGTTTGGACCCCGTGAGCTCACCTACTAGCCCGGTGACGCCGGTATGGTCTCTCTAGACCATCAGCTTAGGTAGGAAAAAAAAGACGGTGTGTTTGACTATAATGTATAAATGTTTTGTGATTTGCGAAAAGGGCCTGTTAGACTTCACGGCTTATAGGTACATCGTTTATATGTACGTATTAATACCACCTTCAATTCCATTTTGGTCTATTATTTAGTGAAATAGACAAAATAACGAAATTTAACATAATGAGGTCAAAACACGAGCTGAATTAGTCATATAACTAGTTTGTCTCGAACGAAATTTATCGTCACCCGCGCCATGTTTGTTGCCTGTTTGCTTAATGGTACGTAATAAAGTTAATACGTACTAATAAAAATGACGTTGTGATAATGTTTCCCATCACACTTACAAGCTACGGATGCAGTAGGGAAGTCGTATTCATTCCATTGTTTTAACTGATCCCGATTATGTTATTAATGATATCAATGCCAACGGCACATCTGATAGTGTTCGGTACAATTCGATTTGTTTTATAAACTATTCTGTTCCTGATTTTAATCAGAACGATTTAGTACCTTAATTACATTCAAACAGACTGTTAGCAGATAATTGTGATTTTAATATGTTTCGGATGGTAAGTTTAACTTCATATAAATTTAAGGTTTTTTTTATAATGCTTAGATGGGTGGACGATCTCACAGCCCAGCTGGTGTTTTGTGGTTACTGGAGCCCATAGACATCTACAACGTAAATGCCCACCGCCCACCTTGAGATATAAATTATGAGGTCTCGGTATAGTTCAACAACTATACCGAGACCTCATAACCCCCTTCAAATCAACCCTTCAAACCGAAACGCATTACTGCTTCACGGAAAAAATAGGCAGGGTGGTGGTACATACCCGTGCGGACTCAAAAGAGGTCCTGCCACCAGTAATTATACAAGTTATAATTTTGCGGGCTTCATTTTTATTACACGGTCGTTCGATCGATTCACTCCTTCACCATGGAAGTCGATCGCGAACATTTGTTAAGTACGTATTTCGTCAGAGACATTGGTACACGCCTGAAGGATTCGAACACCGATACATCGCTAAATACAAATGAACCGGACGTCTTATCCTTTAGACCACGACGACTTCAAAACCTTTCTCCTTCTTTCTTAAAGCTATCTTGCTAATAGCTTTTATACGGTTCACGTTTACTTTTAAGGTTTAATCTCGCGTTTTTTATAGTTATTTCACTAACTGCGTCGTTTCGAATACTTCGCAGTTTCCCTGATCACGTTAATTTAGTTTCCTATAAACTACTCCCGGTGATGGTCACGGGGTGACCTGAGAGGGTCGATCCTGCGCCGCACGCTACCGTCACTCTAGCGCGCTGGCACCAGGAGGACGGGACGACGCGTCGGCGGCTGCGGCCTGCGATGCGGTCCGCATTGTCGTCGTCGCTGTCGTCGCCGAACATACTGTGGAAGAGCAACCCGGTCGGCGGTGTATCGCGTTCCCACCCAGGAGGCTGGTTCTGACCCAGCGGGGTATCCCGGAACATCAGCGGCATCGTCCGAGCAGCCTGATGGAGTCGCCGTACCGCGGAGACCGGCCTCGTTGGCTGTCGACTATCGCCTCGACGACCCGTCGGTCGGGCGTCCTCGGAGTGGTGCCACGAGTCAGGTTGTAGTGTTGACAGCGGGAGCCACCAATTTCCGTAACATTTACTCAGTTTTTATGTTGGAAAAATTACCGGCTTGGCTTTACCCAACCGTCAAATCCACGCTGACACATTGACATGAATCATTGAATAACTAAACTTACCTTATAAAACATTGCCAAACCCAGCTGCTGTCTATACGCTGCGCTTGGTTCGGGAGGCATTTCAGTGGCGTTCAGATCCTTCTTCAAATTGTTCAAAGCCGACTGAAGAGTTTCGTTTTTGAACAACGGTTTTCCGATTAGGAATTTCTCGGTTCCTAAAGCCCTTACGAATGTCGGTGAGATGCCGTTGTAGACGATCCTGGCTTGAGTGACTGTCGAATTATTGGCTAATTTGTATAGAAAACCAGCATTGACTATAGCGTGCGCATTTTGGGATTTAGGCATTATCTGAAAATGTATGATATCGTTACTTAACCAGTTTCTGTTAGGTTAGGAGTGAAATCGCAATTAAAATTACCTTCATAGTTGTAACCAAATAGGTCTTATTCAAAGGAGGCAACATAACGTTTAATATAACCGTTCTTCGCATGTTTGTCTGCAGGAATTCTCCCATAGTTACCGTTCTTGATTTACCTTGTCCTGTTACTGAGGACAGAACAAAAAAAAAATAGGCGGTAAGCAACAGCATCGCGGTTAGCATGGGACGCTGTACTTAAGTAATTGGGGACTACGAAATTATGTTTAGACCATTTAAGTTTTAATCTTGGTTGTCTAGAGGCAGTTGTACTAGTTTCTTAACGCATTAAAAGGTGAGGCAGCCGCTAAACCGTTATTGAGTGTTATAACCCATATACATAGCCCACTGAGTTTCTCGCCGGACCTTCTCAACGGGTTGCGTTTCTGATCCGATGGTAGCACTGCTTTTGCTAGGGCAAGTATTAGCAACGCCTCCAGATTTGAGCCCCGAGAGCTTACCTACACGTTAGGGTTACGCTGACATAGTATAAACATGCAGTAGCATTCATTTTGTACAATCCATCTTATCCGGTCACCACTTCAGATTAGTTCTTTAACACTAAACATACCTTAACGGGCCAAATGACCCATTTTGAACTTTTGCATTGAAAATGCACGTATCATCGTATTGCTTTTGCACATTTGACTTCATGACTTCTTGTTACCAATTAATCTAGAGTTATTATACTTTTTCTTAAAAAAAAATTTTTTGTTAATTTTGAGTAATACTTGTCGCATACCGTTATCTACCCGCTATATGGTAGAAACAGGTACCAGTAAGTGTTGATTTGATTAGTGTTAAAGCCGTTTAATGTATGACGCTGTAGATACATACCAAGAGTCAATTGTGCGCCGACAGTTTCGAACATCACGAACAAGTCGGATTGGAAGTCATTATGTTGGTGTTTTATCATTAGATTTCCGGCTACGCAGCCTAACTGAAAAGAAAATTGTACAACTTTAACAATTCATGTTAGGGATCTGTTTTCGGTATTTTATTGTTATAAGTTCAGTAAATTAAATATACATACAAAGAGAACGATAATTAGGTACTTATAAAATTTCGAAATACAGGGTGTCCCACAATATCAAACCGAAAGTGGATACAGTATAAGCAACTTAGATCACGTTAAAAATGTACAAAAAAATCTAATCTATCATAAGTAGTTTTATTAAAAAACGAAGTTATGAATTTTTACAACTGTTCAATGACAGCCCTGAATGTATACAACAAAAGTACCGTTAAGCCCTTCATCTATATATTAATACGTGAAGCAATAACTTTTGTATCCCTTTATACGAAAATTGCGCGGACGGAGGAGTATGAAATTTTCCACACTTATAGAGAATATAGAGAAGAAGTGCACAATGCTAATATTTTTTTAAAGTAATGCATAAAATATACATTAAATCAATAAAGAAAACATTACACACACTACATACCATGTATTTGACGCACACACGCATGCATACTATTTATTGTCAAACTTTTGTTCTTGACGTCTGTTGTCAAATTGAGAATAGATTAAATAGTACTTGTCTTTGTTAATATTTTTTAAAGTGTAGTCTTGGCGAAATTTGTGATTATAGAAGTATAAAATACAATCATAATAGTGTACAAACTTACAATTCCAATTAATTATTATGGTCCAATTTCGACTACTGTGGGACCTCTAGTTCTATTAAGCGTTAGAACTAGATGAACAACATCAAATTCGCCCAACTCATTTCAACAATGAATATGACAATAAATGCAACTATATAGCCAGATTCATAAGGTTAAAAAACGCTAACCAGATGTAACCAGATGTAATAAATTTCACCTTTATTGCAAAGACAAAAGAATCTGTTTGATGGGCCGACACAGTCTGAGTCGGCTAGCAGCGCTGGTGGAGTGTTTATGTGTTTGTATTTCAATTAGCTGACTTGACGTGATCTTTTTGAGTGCGGAGAACCTGATCTATTATAATTGCTGCATTCTTAGGATTTTAACAGTAATTTGTACACTGATTAGATTTTTTATTTAATATTTTTACTACCTCGTGCGGTGAGAAAATAAAAAAATCGCATCCTTTGATACGTGACCAACCATATTTTTCACTACGAATCATATTACTGCACCTTATGTAAAACCTAATTCAAGGGTTGGCAGTAGAACAGTTTGTTTATAAGTTCAAGTATTATTTATTTTGGTGAATCGATTATTTTAATAGAACACTGTCCATAATTATCGGCTTGATATAGATATGCGAGACACTCGGTACACAAAATTTAGACAGTAAATAAATACCTAATACTAAATACCATTAATCAAATGCTTAGTATCCCAAGTGGGAATCGTACCCTCGACACATAGACCAACAGTCAGGGCTGCAAACCACAGCACCGCCGAGTGAAACAAAATAAATTTACAATCGTAACTAGAGCTTACATTTCTGACAGCAACATGAGCTACCATTTCCAAATGCTCATAAAACCGGGCCAAATATTGAAAGTCCTCTTCTTCATCTGACAGTTTTTTATAGATACTCATCAATTCAGTCAAGGTTGTTCCAGCATTGATGACCAGATTCTGATCCAAGTAATATCCCTTCAATTCATTTACCCCCGTTATATCTATTAATAGCTGGGCGCGCACATCTGTTGGATATGCACCTAAAAAGAAAATACTTTGAAGGTGCAGACGATCTCGTACATTATATTTAGTCTTCAAAGAGTGGTATTGGTAGGGCGTATTATAAGAAGGCATGGTAAGTATTTCTATCCTNTTGATGACCAGATTCTGATCCAAGTAATATCCCTTCAATTCATTTACCCCCGTTATATCTATTAATAGCTGGGCGCGCACATCTGTTGGATATGCACCTAAAAAGAAAATACTTTGAAGGTGCAGACGATCTCGTACATTATATTTAGTCTTCAAAGAGTGGTATTGGTAGGGCGTATTATAAGAAGGCATGGTAAGTATTTCTATCCTATTTCTTGGCACGAAGCAGGCATGCGTTCCAGTTTGAAGATTGGGACAGACGTCCAATAATATCGGTATTAAAATAAATTAGCATACATCTATTTGTAATTTTAATTTTAATATATTTTTAAATGGCATACATTCGAATCAGCGGGGTATAATAATAATAATATGAGGATATAAATATAATATATTATTTTGGGAGCAAACCGTGGGCCCAAAGATGTTTGTAGGGCCCTACCCAATATATGCCTCCCCTTGCACTCTCTTACCCATCTTCCGATCGCTGCCCAGGATTAGAACCCGGTCAGAGTAAGGGAGTTCTCGTGATCAATAATACAACCAGACTCGCAGCGCCATCACAGCCACACGAGGCAGTGCGCGAGCGTGCTCTCGGTTGTGTTCTTGTCGCACGCGATTGACTCAGTACGCAAGGACAGGGTGCACCGCCTCAACGGTCCGAAAACTGGCCCACAGGTTCGCCAAATGGCGAGACCACGCCTCCGGCATGAATCGCCGAGATTGGGTCTCCGCCCTCTTAATGTTCCTTCGCTGAGACATGGCTCCCTCTGTCGCGGAGTCTACATCGCCATGCATAATCCATGGCGAGTGCCTCCATCTCCAGATCTTAGAGGTGAGAACACACGGCTCGTCGAAGGAAACGGTGCGATGTGCATGGATCATACTGACGGCGTTCGCACGCTGCCGACGTTACAGCGTCGTTATTGCAGGTCACCATGCACCATACCACCCCCATTTAGATGACGCACCACGGTGTCGGGCTCTGTCGGATTTTAAGTCAATAAGGCATTGCACCAGGCTAGCAGAAATTGAAATCTGATGTAAAGAAAATAGCAAATTAATGAACCTTCTTAATAATATCAACAGCTGAATCTAAAAAACCTTAATAAAAATGTACTAACCTCTAGCCGTATTTCCCCAAACAAGTTGGTAAGAATCATAATTCTCCGTTTCCAATAGTCGCAGAATTTCACTTATTTTAAAAACCTTAAGAAAAAGTCTTCCGTCACACAATTCTATCCTAATCGTGTTTGGCTCATCAGCGTCCTCTTTATTCACCAAGCACCAATCTGCATCACGTGGATTATCGCACGGCTGTCCGGTCTTCTTACAAATGACTAAGTCTTCAATATCAGGAATTAGATTTTTCGGAGCATCTTTACCGAAACATTTGAAGGCANCAGAATTTCACTTATTTTAAAAACCTTAAGAAAAAGTCTTCCGTCACACAATTCTATCCTAATCGTGTTTGGCTCATCAGCGTCCTCTTTATTCACCAAGCACCAATCTGCATCACGTGGATTATCGCACGGCTGTCCGGTCTTCTTACAAATGACTAAGTCTTCAATATCAGGAATTAGATTTTTCGGAGCATCTTTAGCGAAAGATTTGAAGGCATCTAAAATTGGTCTGTACCCAGTACATCTGCAGACGTTAGACCCCAGTAGTTTTTCGATTTCTATCATGGTCGGGGTTTTGTATTGTTGCAAAAGGCTGAAAGTGGTTTTAAAAATTATATATTTTTTTATTCTGCAAGTCATTGATTTCTTGGAAATGGAGGCTACTCTCTTCCATACTAAGCAATCAGGAAACGCTTAATGGACATGATAAAGACACCGTTGTAACTTAATTTACTGCTAATTTTAAGTCGCATCACTTGAAACGAGTCTGCCGGCCGTATCACCGGACTTTTCTAAACAATATTCAGAATTTCGGTTTTGATACCGTAGTTTCCACTTATTTTAATTCTTCCTGCTGACCTAAAAGTTACAGAACACAGTAGGAGCATAAACATGGCTGACTTCATTTAAACTACTTTTACCGTTTTACTGGTAACTAAAAATGATGACCTAAGAAGAAATGGATGGATTGCGTGAAAGACCACATGACGTGTAAGAGGGGAGTGAGCGAAGAAATGGGATATGATAGAGGAGTATGCAAGGACAAAACATGCTGCGCCGACCCCAGGTGACTGGGAAAAAAGCAGGAGAATGATGATGATATAAAAGCTTTAATTACGTCAACGACTCTCAAAAACCCAACAAATTACCAATTTTTCTTTTTTTTTTTTCATAAGTAAGGAAAGAAATTATGTAAATCATGTCAAATGTTATAATAGGTTGGGGAAAAAGTCTTTTCGCATTATAGTATGTATGAACTTGTAATAAAATGTCTTTGGCTATACTATTATTGTATCTGGCTGGCTTTGGTATTATTAAAAGTTTAAATTTTAAAGAAGATAATTCCAAATTCAAATTAGAAAAATGTGTGATTTTTATTTATTTTTCGTACTGACGAGATGAGTGAATCTAATGAAGAAATTAGATACTTTTAAAATTTTACTACAAAAAAGTTAAAAATGCAAGGCAAGTCGCGAAAAAAATTTGCGATGTTTATGGACCTAGTGCATGCAGTGTCTGTGAGAGTAGCACAAATTTGGTTTAAGCGTTTTCAATCTGGAAATTCTGATGTCAAAGATGCACGTCGCTCTGGTCGCCCTATTACGGACAAAACGGATGCCATTTTAAAAAAAGTGGAGCAAAGATCGGCGTATGAGTAGTTACAACGTAGATGAAGAACTGGGAATTGACAACAAAACAGTTTCGGCGCATATAAAAAAAACTCGATATTTGGGTACCTCGCGAGTTCACTGAAAGAAACTGAAATTTTCTTAAAAAATGCGAAGAAACTTTTCCCCAACCTATTATAAACCTGCAAATACTACTATATTACCTTTGTTAAATTACCTGTACATAGACATAACCCAGCCCGGCGAACAGTAACCACACTGGCTACCGTTGTGAGCTGCTAAGCTTTTTTGTAAAGGGTGGTATCCTTCATTCCTATTTCCCACTCCTTCTATGGCTGTTATTTCCCAATTCTGACAGGACGTTATCGGGACCATGCACTAGGAAACACAATTGCACACTATAAGAGGTCAGACGCAGTAAACATTATGATACTGCATTCATACCGAGAAATTAAGTCGAAGGCTCAATTGTGTTCAAAGTTTTAGTGGTAGGCAGTCACTTGGCCGTGCCCCTGGCATTGCTGAGGCCCATGAGCGACGGTGACTACTTACCATCAGATGGACTGTATGACTTTAAAATTGAATTACCGCTTCATTGGAGAAATACACAACTAACCCTCCCATTATTATGAAGAACACACTGTTATGAAGTTTATCACATTAACTCTTCACTATACGATGACCGATAAACGAATTGTCGAATTGTAATTGCCACCTTGCCACTTGAGATATAAGGTCGAATTTTTATTTCTGCAATTTATCCGTTAGATAGATAATACTGCTTGGCAGCAAAAATAGATACTTTTCTTATAGACCACCTGTGTAGACTTACAATTTCTCATGCTACTTATTGGAATTGTTTGAATTGTGATACAGTTTTTGTTTACTTAACATCAAAAAACACTTGTTTAAAAATTTAAAAACAAATTTAAAAAGTAACAATAAAATAACTATGTTTATGTGTTGGTATGTTCAATTGTAGGTACCTAATCACGAATGACTAACGTTATGATAGAAAATGTACTGAGTACCTGCTTAGTGGCAGATTTAAGCAGGACGAGGATACCTACCTAGACCTACCAGTTTGGACTGACAAAATCAAGAAATGAATGTACTTATTCCAGATATGTCGAAGATTTAACAAAAAAAAAACGTATTCCTCCTTTTCAATTAATTAAACTATTTTATGAGTCCAACGATAGTAAACCAAAAAGCTTAGAGTGAGTTTGTCGCGTTACAAAAAGCATTGAATATTAATTTACCAATTTTTTCAAAGCCTATGTCTTTATATGAGTACTAGCTGTACCCGTCCGCTTCGCTGGGTATTTTAAATTAACATTATTATAGGGAGCCGCTATTGCTGCCCAATACTGAGGCACTGGAATGAAGAAGTTTATTATTATTATTATATTTCACCCCCACAAAGGTTCTCATCATTAACGCCCCCGCAACTGGTGTAGGGAGTCCAACGTTCATATAAATATTAGCCTATCCATTAAGTACATGTATTTCCTACATGGATACCGAGTTTCAAGTCAATCGGATGCATGGTTCAGTAGTTATTAACCACTGTAGATTTATATATTAGTTATAGATTTTATTTCTTACCGAATTGACAGCTTCGTTCGTACAACGGTCCGGACGTTTAGCTGCCACTATGCAAGCACCGCAACCGGCCTGACGACACATGTACTTGGTTCCCCTCAACTGGAGGTACTCCCTCAGGTAGTCCAGCAGCATCACTTCAGAACTCACTTCGTTTCCCACTAAACATAGACAGCATTGTTGGTATTGACTTTGATAGTATAGCACTAGATAATGTATTAAATAAAATAAAATATATTTTTTTTGCTTAGATGGGTGGACGAACTCACAGGCCACCTGGTATTAAGTGGCCACTGGAGTCCATAGACACCTAGAACGTAAAAGCGCCACCCATCTTGACATATAAGTTCTAAGGGCTCAATATAGTAACAACGGCAGCCCCACCTTTCAGCAGTAGGTGAAGCAGTAGCTTCACGGCAGAAATGGGCAGAGTGGTAGTACCTACCCGTGCCGACACACAAGAGGTCCTACCACCAGTAAAGTACGAGGTCTCCACGCCTAGGGGGCATATGGTGGGACTTGACGATCTGCAGATGTTGGGAGCAGACCGCGGGCCCAAGGATATTTTTAGGGTCCTACCGCACTAAACGACTCCCCTGCACTCTTACACCCGACATCCGATCTCTCCCCGGGGTCAGAATCCGGTCAGAATAGGGGGGACACAAGGAAAATATGTTAATGCAATAATAAAAATCAACATGTTAATAGTGGAAATTGTTTTTGATTTTTTATACTTATTTTTAATATATTCTATGTCTGTTTTATGCTGTTGTTTACATAAATAAATAAATGAACAAATTTTTTTTTATTGCTTAGATGAGTGGACGTGCTCACAGCCCACCTGGTGTTAAGTGGTTACTGGAGCCCATAGACATCCACAACGTAAATACGCCACCCACCTTGAGATACAAGTTCTAAGGTCTCAAGTATAGTAACGACGGCTGCCCCACCCTTCAAACCGAAACGCATTACTGCTTCACGGCAGAAATAGGCAGGGTGGTGGTACCCACCCACGCGGACTCACAAGAGGTCCTACCACCAGTAATTACGCAAATTATAATTTTGCGGGTTTCATTTTTATTACACGATGTTATTCCTTCACCGTGGAAGTCAATCGTGAACATTTGTTGAGTACGTATTTCATTTGAAAAATTGGTACCCGCCTGCGGGATTCGAACACCGGTGCATCGACGACGACGACTACAAAAAACAAAGTCACTTTTTCTTTGCCACGGATGAACAAACATAACACCAGATACGTTGTAAGCTCTATAACGAATGTGGTATTATGTTGTCAACAAAACCCATAGATATCACAACACGAACGCACATCTTGTCATCAAACTTTACTTACTTTACTGGAATTTGCGTAATTACTGGTGGTAGGACCTCTTGTGAGTCCGCACGGGTAGGTACCACCGCCCCGCCTATTTCTGCAGTGAAGTAGTAATGCGTTTTGGTTTGAAGGGTGGGGCACCCGTTGTGACTATACTGAGACCTTAGAACTATATTTCAAGGTGTGTGGCGCATTTACGTTGTAAATGTCTATGGGCTCCAGTAACCACTTAACACCAGGTGGGCTGTGAGCTCGTCCACACATCTAAGCAATAAAAAGAAAATTACTTTTAAAATGTTAAACATTAGAACTTGGATAGAAAATAATATTTTTAAGACGAAAGAAGCTATATGTGTCCGTAACGTTTTCAATTCCGAAAATGCCGAATCAATTTTGAATAAATTCGTTTTGGAACAGTTTAAATCCTGCCAAAGTGTAAGGCTTTCATACCCACTGCTATGTATTGGTCTCTGTTGATACGACATAAAATGAAGTCCACGTAGGTGAAGCTACAAGTGGAATGCTGGGCAATTATAAACAACGTACAAGTAAATGGTCCTTACGGATCCATCAGATCCAATAACCTTTGCATTAGACGCCTTCAGCAATAACACTAGGAGCAGGCTTAGGGACCTCAGTAACCGTACTCGTCGAACTCGACAAAGAGTTCGCCGTGCAACCTAACCCATGAATCAGCTCGCTGAGTTTCTCGCCGTATCTTCTCAGCGGGTCGCGATTCCGATCCGGTAGTACATTCATTCGCGAAGCACCTACTCTTGAGCTGTTAGGTCTCCTTCGGAGGCGCTCGGGTAGCTGTTAGCCAATCCCACCCCTCCTGGCTGAGCCTTTGCTCGCCCACCTGTCCTGGTGAAACTGGAAAGGCCTCCGGGCCACCAGTAATCCTTCAATCATAAAAAAAAAACAAGTAAATGTAGTTGCTAAATTATAGGAATGCTCTACGATTCTCTATGCTTATCCTCTTAAATATCAGTTACGACGCTTTCCCTTGTCCGCATGCTCAAGATGAGCAAGATGAGCATACGCAAGAAGAATTTGAGGAAAAGTTATGCTAAGTTAATCAGTAAATGTCTCTCGTCTGTATTAGGCTCATAGTCAACTTAGACTCCAGACTTCATATCTCCTCATATACCACAGCAGACTGTTGCAACATAATAAATGCATGGTTAAGAAAATAAATTTTTCTCCTGCCTACGCCGAACTTTCGGCGTAGGTAGGTAGGAGAAAAAATTTTAATGCCACCACCCATTCTCGCTCACGACTCGGTCGTGTGCGGACGTGCCTTCCGATCCGTTGCTCGCTTGCGATCTACGTCTCGGAACTCACAGTTGTGCACGACAGTGTAGTGACCGTGAATACCCTTCTTTTTTTTTCGGTTAGAAGGCCGAACCTTCTACGAGGTCCCCGCGCAAAAGGGGCGCGCGGGGTATGTGAGACTCAACGGTCTGCATGGTATTATGAGCAGATCGCGGGCCCAAGGATTTTAGGGCCCACCCACTAAACGACTCCCCTGCACTCTTACACCCGACGTCCGATCCCCTCCGAGGTCAGAACCCGGATGAGGTAGGGGGGCTACCGCGGTCAACACTACAACCAGACGGACCATGAATACCCATAGCAACTGTCTTTTTCAAGGCAAAAAGGATCGCTACGATCAGGCTTTCTGTGGCACTCTCACAGGCTAGCGATCTTCCCAACCCTCTCCTAACGTTTTCACGGCATAGGCACTCTCCCTCCCTGCCATCAAAGCTACGTGCTCAGTGCAGGGGGGTTTTCCCAAACCAGGGGACTCGCCTTTCGGCGAGTTGGAACAAAAGTCCCGGCGGCACCGAGCGAAAAACATGGACGAAGAGTTAGTGAGGTTTTTAGGGTCACTTCGGGATAAGTACCCAAACCTCACGGCCGAATTCGAGGCCTATAGGGCCACTCGCATTAATTCCTCCCCCCCGCGTCCCTCGCCGCATCGTTTAGAGCTTCGCAGGTATGTCCCGCCCCCGTAATAAGTTCGAGCGCACGTTCCCACGTAGCGACTCATGAAGTGCCTAGCGCTACCCTCACCCCCGCGCCCGCGTCGATTACGTCATCGCTCGTCTCGTCCGTCGCGACCTCGATCGTCTTGAGTTCAGGCTCCGATACCCAATCGCAGATGGACTTCGAATCTGCGTCCAGCCCTCAGACCGGAACCTCGGATGGGTTCCAAGCCGTTACGCGCGGAAAAAAGCGAACTTGCGTCGTGGAGTCCCGGAGCTCCACGACGAAGCAAACCAAATCCGCGACCGCCTCCCGTCCGCAGGTAGTCGTGACACCGGAGTCAGACTCCGATCGCCGCGTAACCCCACCGCCGCGCCCAAAAGCCGTGCCCGCGCAAAAAACCGTCGTCCCGCTCCCGCTGATACTTCAGGACAAGTCAGCGTGGAATCGCGTATCCCAGGCCCTTCAGGCCAAAAAAATTAACTATACATACAGATACAGATCAAGGTCGCAACCCCCGGCGAATATAGGGCCCTCTCATCTTACCCCCGAAACCGCGAACCGCGACCGAGTTTCGGAGCGCGGAGTCCCAAAGGAACTCGACATAGACTACGTAAACGAGGATCTGATCGGTCAGTCCCTCCCAACAGTTAGTGTGCACCGGATGCACAGCGGGCGCGGCAGACAGCCGTATAATATGACTCTCGTCGCGTTAGAATCAGCTCCGGAGACCAAAAAGAAGATCGCATGTCTCTCGACAGTATGCGGCCTATCTGGGGTCTTTATCGAAGCCCCCTATAAACGTGGCACTCCCGGGCGGTGCTACAGATGCCAGCTCTATGGCCACTCGGCGCGTAATTGCCACGCAACAACAGATTGCTCGCAAGTTAGTGAAACCGCGACCGAACCCCCAAGTTGTGTCCTATGCCTTAAGCATGGGCACCCCGCGAACTACTGTGGTTGTCCTAGGGCTCCGCAAAAACGTCCGAACCACCCAGCCCTCCGAACCGTCGGCCCAAAGACTTCGGTGCCTTCAGTGCCGAAACCCGACTTCGTGCCGGCTGCGGTTCCTACCGTCTCGACGTGGAAAAAACAGCTGCCGTATACGAAGGCGGGAACGCAAACCGCACCGCATCCCCTGCTCGCACCTCGCCCCGCGCTCGCGTTCCGCCCCCCTCAACCCTTAGCTATCAACGACTTCGCGCTCGTCCGCGACTTCGTCACTGCGGTCGACTTCGACCGTCTGCGATCGTTCGCAGACGCGATACGTAGGTCGTCAACCCCCGAACAGCGGCTCGCGGCCGCGTTCGATCACATGGACTGTTTTAAACTGTTTTACCGGTAATCAATGGCGCGAAACGGTAGAGAAAAACCATATTCCCTTACGTTAGCATTCTATAATGCTAACGGACTCGCGCGGCAACGCGATCAAATTTACGAATTCTTCCGCGACAATCTAGTAGATATTCTGTTAGTGCAGGAGACCTGCCTGAAGCCCTCGCGTCGTGACCCGAAAGGCGCGAAATACGTTCCTTCACCGTGCTATTCATTCGTGAAAATTTGTTGGATACTTATTTAATTAGAAAATTTGGTATCCGCCTGTGGGATTCGAACACCGGCGCAGCGGATACGAGTGAACCGGGCGTCTTATCCCTTAGGCCACGACGCTTTCACGTTTTGTACATAGACAAATACAAATGCAAACTTACCTGTATATTTACAGCCATTTACTTTAAATTGAATTCGATCCATGTCCGATCTTTGCGAAAAATTTCTAAGAAGTAACACAAGGGGACGAGGTGACACCTTTAATGCTAAAAATACAAACAATTTTTAATGTTTGCTTAATACAATTATCATAATACCATTGATACCTACAAATACATATTATTATTATGCTTCTCATAGAGCAAACAAATATATCGACGCTTGAAAGGCAAACGTGACTAAGCGACAATGCGTGAACTTTACAGTAGACTAATTTAAAGTTAAAATACCTGAAAACAAAATTTATTTTAACGAATCTAGCTGTAGTAGAATCTAGCTAGTAGCTGTAGGATTGAAATGATTATAATAGACCTAGAAATATATTTTTTTTGTCNGACTGAGCAGGACGGCCGTGTGGGAATATTTAGGTGTAACCATTGGCCACACCGACCTGACAGATGACAGATGGTGCATGAAGTATAAGTGACAGATTGATTAAGACGAAATAAGAAAAGACGTATATTTTTGTGAACTGATGATTAAATAAAATTTAACAAATTCGCTAATTTCATTGTGCACCGCGATCCCACATATATATATATGAAAAGTGTGTATGTATGTATGTCTGTCAAACAGATTTTGAGGATTGTCTTTATTTAAAAGCGGTAGCTTATTATGTGGTCCCGTTGAAATTTTATCAAGATCTGACCATTAGTTTTTGAGTTATCCTTAATATTGCATATCCTTATATAATCCATATTTAATTGATTTCGTCTACATTGGTGATGTTATAATTTTATTTTGTAGAATTGGATTATTTTTGTTGTTGTTGTGTTGTAGCTTCTAAAATAACAATAATCCATCAATGTTTTTACAAATTATGATTTAATGACTTCAAATAATTGTTTATTTTTATTGCTTAGATGAGTGGACGAGCTCACAGCCCACCTGGTGTTAAGTGGTTACTGGAGCCCATAGACATCTACAACGTAGACGCGCCACCCACCTTGAGATACAAGTTCTAAGGTCTCAGTATAGTTACAACGGCTGCCCCACCCTTCAAACCGCAGGATATCAGGCCAAAGTATTGTATCTCCGTCCAAAATTATTGTAATTAAATTCCGCTGGCAGTTTTCAATTTTCTATTGAAATACTTATTTCTACAGTGAAACAGTAATGCGTTTCGGTTTGAAGGGTGGGGCAGCCATTGTAACTATACCTGAGACCTTAGAACTTATGTCTCAAGGTGGGTGGCGCATTTACGTTGTAGATGTCTATGGTCCAGTAACCACTTAACCCCAGGTGGGCTGTGAGCTCGTCCACCCAACTAAGCAATAAAAGAAAAGTAATTTAGACCAACGAATTTCATTCAGTTCGCGTAAGCAAAGCAAAAGAACGAAAAACAAATTAATAAAACTTTTCGCATCTTTCTTTTTCGTTTTCTTAAAGACAAAAGTCGAAAAAGGCCAGTAATAAGATATTAACAAGATTGTTTTCCTGGACTCAGCAAGGTGCGGGACTGAAGATTTATTTTGAAAAGGGTAAGCGAAGACGTGTCGCCGCCTAGGAATGAAAGGTGTATTGGACGCTTCAGACGCACTGGAGTTCGTTTATCACTTGTGGTAACTTATGCGGATATATTTCAGCTTTTTTTGGAACGAATTTCGTTATGGGACGATGCGGAGGGTACCCTAACCGGGAAAAAACGTCCGTAACGTAAGATTTTTAACAACGAAAACTATCAACGATAGTTTTTTTTTATTGCCCTTGTAGGCAGACGAGCATACGGCCCACCTGGTAGTGAGTGGTTACCGTCGCCCATGGACTTCAGCAATGCCAGGGGCAGAGCCAAGCCGCTGCCTACCGGTGAAGTGAAGTCGTCGTGGCCTAACGGATAAGATGTCCCGCGCATTCGTGTTAAGCGATGCACCGGTGTTCGAATCTCAGGCGGGTACCAATTTTTCTAATGAAATACGTAGTCGACAAAATTAAATGTTCGATTGACTTCCACGGTGAAGGAATAGCATCGTGTAATAAAAATCAAACCCGCAAAATTATAATTTGGTAGGACCTCCTACCTTGTGAGTCCGCACGGGTAGGTACCACTACCCGCCTAGTTCTATAATAAAGCGTTTCGGTTAAGCAGTAATGCGTTTCGGTTTGTAGGGTGGGGCAGCCGTTGTAACTATACTTGAGACTTTAGAACTTATATCTCAAGGTGGGTCGCGCATTTACGTTGTGGATGTCTATGGGCTCCAGTGACCATTTAACATCAGGTGGACTGTGAGATCGTCCACCCATTTAAGCAATAAAAAAAAGACTAACTAATTGTAAATGATTGTAAGTCTAGTGCGAAAGGGGGCCTGTTCGATTTATTGAGGCCTCACGGCTAGAGTGACAAGCACCCAATAAACGTGAATGTCTAAGGCTTATCCCTCAAAGCCTGCGTTTTTTCGAAATTGCAAATACAACTTGTACGTTGGTCAGTCTTCCAAATTATTTGAGTTTGGTTAAGGTTAAGCATTAAAATTTTAGTAATACCTATACTCATCATCATGGTCGGTTGCTCTTGGCGGAGCAGTTGTGGTCATGTGGAATTCTTGCTTATTAAAGCCTTGACAGATGTTTTCCATAGTTTGCGAACCGAGGCCCGGCGCACACACTCGTTAAGTGGGGTTTCAGTAAGGTTTTTCACCTGATCAGTCCAGCGCATGGGGATTCGTCCACGAGATCTCTTACCATTGACCCTACCCTGAACAACAAGTTTCTCGATAGATTCTGCTGGCCGTCGCGATACGTGTCCAAAATATCGAAGAATCCTGGATTGCACTGTTGACGACAACCGGTGAGAGATATTTAATTCTTTTAGGATCAAGTAAATATTAGTAATATACTAATATTTTTAATTTAAAGCCGAAACACATCTACTTAAGGTGGGAAGTTCATATGAAAGCCTCAAAATCGGTCATATTTTTTAAATATTTTCAAAGGTGATAAAATAACTGTATTGTTTTAAAACTTTAACGCCACTTTATTAAGCTTTTCTAGCGTACAAAAGTTTTCTTTTTCTTTCAAAATGGCGACTCGGGATATTTTTTGTCAGCTGCTTTCGATGCGAGCTCCCAAATTGCTTTATTTGTCACTCATCAACCATTGATCTGAAATAAAAAAGGTAGATCTTTCTTTTTAGGACATATTCGTTGCATTCATGAAGTTATAGGCTGTATGGTTGGTTGTATGTGGCACCGCTAATCTGTATCAGCTAAAATCAGTATAGGATTTGATGAGATAAAAGTTTCTATTCAGCATTCATCATTGAATTTAAATTTAAATGGATCATGCAAAAAAATTAAATCTACAATTTGTTGTTTCCACAAAGTGACATTATCTGTACATATAAATAATATTGGTGTGTCTGTTTGTAATATTGAAATAGCCGCTTTTACTACATGCATATGAATATATATATACGGTACATACACCAAAATAATTTTTTTTACAATTTTTGTTTGTCTGTCGGTTTGTTTCGGCTAATCTCTGGAACGGCTGGACCGATTTTGACGGGACTTTCATTGATAGGTAGCTGATGATATAAGGAGTAATTTAGGCTACTTTTTTTAGACTAGCTTCGCCCCACGGTATCTCCCGCGGCACGACAATAACCGCGGGTTACATCGCGGTACTCAGCTATCAATAATAAAATTTAATGTTTCCGAAGTGAAGCGAGGGCGGGTCGCTAGTAAGAAATATGGCAGACTTCAAAAGCGTGAATGTAGCAGTAATCATGAAAACTGTAAATAATTACGTCTGCGATTCGTGAAAATCGAAGAAACTACGAATTACACAAACAAATCAAAAGTTGGAAATCATACAATGATAGCAGTAAAAGCGAGATTACTTCGTAAACTTAGTTTCAGTTACGTGAAAGATAAGTTTGGTAACAGTTAAGGACATATTGCGTAAGTATTGATAGTCATCATCATCATCATCATCATCATCAACAGCCCACAGTCGTCCACTGCTGGACATAGGCTTCTCCTAATCCACACCACTGAGCCCGGTCTGCGGCTCTCCTCATCCACTTATAACAGTGATTATGATAGTGAACAAATAAAATTACCACAATACACTACTAAGATATTGTTTAGACCAAATCCCGTCCAGCATCATAGGTACGGTAAATATCTTGACTTTGATAACATAGAGAAGAAAATATAACTAGATCTTACACCGCAGCGCTTCTAGCCTCAAGTCATTAACATAGCTTAGAGAGAGGCCAAGTTAAATTGGCAGTGCACTAGACGTGTATGCCGGAGAATTGACGATCGCTGGAGCAGACGGGTCATTGAGTGGAGACCAGTATTCGTAATATGGGGTGCCTTCGATCGGGCGGTACGATGATTTGTTAGGGAGGTCAGCAGAAAGTGGAAATAGAGATCCGAAAATCGGGTTATGAATACAAAATGGGCAAGGCCAATGTCCAGCAATAAACTGCGGGCTGATAATAATTACGGTATCATGTCTTATAGTTGTCGGATAGATATTCCCATCGACATAATAGTTATCTAAAATCCTTTAAGTTTTTTGTTATTGGAACGAAGTTCCTTATCGCGCGTTGTGAAAGGGGGCTAGACGGAAAAAATTCTTACGAAAAGTTGTCACGACACTTTTTAGATCCGTCATTCTGACCAATCGACGTGTAGGCGCTTATCGCGTGACATTGCTCGTATCCGATTGGTCCGCGTAATGAGTACAGTTTCTCGAGATAGCGTTTCAACAATAGTAATTTAGTTCATAGTATTGTTTTTTTTTCATCATAATGCCGTAATTTATTATTATAACTTAAAAAAAAATTACAATTCCTTCACTAATTAATCGAAAGGAACTTCGTTCCATCCGGGTGTCCCTTGACACCTCTGAAGTTTTTTTTGGAACGAAGTTCCTTATCGCGCGTTGTGAAAGGGGGCTAGACGGAAAAAATTCTTACGAAAAGTTGTCACGACACTTTTTAGATCCGTCATTCTGACCAATCAACGTGTAGGCGCTTATCGCGTGACATTGCTCGTATCC